TTGAGGTTAATTAGAAAAAAATTTTGATAAGTAAAAAATAATAACCGCCATTACTTTTGGCTAGGACTGTATATGCTCCAGACTTAACAACGGTTTTCGAAACCGTTCTCTAGTTAATATGTTTATATCTGATAAATTATTAAATGCAATGAACATACAAAAAAAAATTTAAAAATTAGTAAAAATTAGTATTTAGTATTTAGCATAAAACCTATCAAGCATTTTAGTGGATTATCCTAAAACATTTTAATATATTAATATATTAAAATGTCTTAGGATAATCTGCTTGTACTAGACTAATATGTCCTAGGATGTTATAATCCATTAATTAATATGTCCTAAAGATGGAGCCTGCTTTCCTTCTCTATAACTTATTGGTCAGTAAATATAGATGAGATGTGCACCTATTTGGTTGCCTTTAAAATACTGAAATAGTGTAAAAAAAAAAAGGCGACGGGTGACGCAATGAATTTGCAATTAATTTTGGCCAGCTCTATAATATAACTCTAACTAATCTTTTGGACATGTGATTTAAGGATACAATTTAGTGTCATGAAAGCATTGTGATAGCGTCCTAGTGGTATTATAAAACTCTTCTAGAACTGTTATAGAACTGGCAGGATGCCTGAGATGTTCTATTTATTCACCAGCTTGGATGCTGAATTATTACGCCCAAATTTTCAGCCAAAATTATAGAATAGTGTTGACCGATATTAAGCGAATAAGTCTTACACAAAGACTATACCGTATCCAAACACATATTTACTTATTTTCCTTTTATGATTTGCTTATTAGTTTATTATACGCCTCTTTTTTTTCAGAGGATGAAAAAATAAATGCACTAATAAAGTATTCATGCTTGAGCATATACTAGTGATAGGATAGTCTTCTGCCAATATTTATATAATAGATTACACAGAAGACTATTTAAAATATATATACCCGATTACATACTAGTGATAGAATAAGTAATGCTAATATTTATATAATAGATTACGCACTTACCTACCTAAAATATATATACCTAATTATATACTAGTATTAGGATATTCTTCTTCCAATATTTTATATAATGAATACAAAGAAGAATACCTTAGATATCATATCATACTGGATACATACTAGAAAAGTGTAGCCTTCTGCCATTTTTATATAATATAATTCTGCAAAAGCCTTTATGTCACATCTGAATACATACTAGTGATAGGGTAGCCTTCTGCTAAAATTTATATAATAGATTACGCAAAAGGCTACCCTAAGTATCACCTATTAAAAATATGTTTATTTATCATTTTTTTACTAATCTGCTATACATCTCTTTGCATCTATCGAAAAAAATTAAACAATTCAGAAATATATTGGAGTATATAAAATTTTACCTACTGACGCTATGTATACCTCAACTACTTCTAACTAAAATCATGAAACTGACCTAACGCTCATCCGTTACGACGACGCTAAGTCTGATGAATACTTAAGTGATTCAGATGGTTATAATGATAATAAATCTGATTTGCAATCAGATACTTATAATAAATATAAGTCTAATTATGAATCTGATAATAAAGAAGCTTTCCGTGCTTCAGCCAGTATTATCAAGACTCTATTAATTTAGCTTCAAAATATACAAGAGTGAAATATTAATACAACATATACTTTAAGAAAGGAAAAGTTTAATGATAAATTTCTCCTAAAGATTTGGTAAGTGCCATTTGGGAAATTCTCTCATCATCACTTAGAGATATGTCGAATGATAAAGGATCATTAAAATGTCTTCCAATTTATTCATTCTTCTTTCTGAATGAAAAGGGGTCTAGTTTATATAACGCTTATGACCGAAGTGAGGTGGAAGATAAATTAGTTATCAAAATCGACTAAGATGGTAATAATGCTCCCAAATTTTCTGTTGCATACAACATTTCTGAAGTATATGGATTACTTAGAATTTATGAATGTATTAATAATCAAAAACTTTTAAGAGCCGTGATTGACATAGATGTTTCGCAAGAAGATATGAAAACAACTGGTGTTAAGATGCAAGAAGTATTTTTTTGAATCTGCTTATCGCTTTATATGGAATTCTTGATTGTAGCTGGGAAAATATTCTTAATAGATTAGTAATCGCTACATTATCGGACCCTAGCAAGTGTAGCTACCATATTTTATACGCATCAGCTCTTTCTTATTGATCATTATGAACTCAAAGCATTTACTAAATTAGTATATACCATAACTGTAAAAAATTCAGCAAGTTTATTGATCAAAAATTACTTGGTCAGAATTTTAACCTTCGCTTAATTAGTTCGACAAAAAAAGGTCATGTAAAACACATTCTTCAATTCTCTCTAGATAATAGTTGAAATGAACTTGATCATGCTAGAGTTCAACTACCTATTAGCTTAAGGCTTGAAGTTAGACCTTGAATGCTTAGTACAGAAAAAAATAATAATCTGCTAAGAATATCTATGAATTAGGATGTATTACAGAAATTGGAATCATTTAAATTAATCAGATCAGAGGCAAGTCCTGTAAAGAGAAAAGGTCAGTATTTTAATTTAGTTAATTAATTTAATCCTTATTTATTACTTATCTCTTTTCTTTTTATAGGTATCAAAATCCTTGAATTGATCGGATTTGAGGTGAGTTCCTATAAAATTAAATAATAATTTTTTTTAAATTTTTTTTATTTAAAAGAAAATTAATAATGCAATCTTACTTTTTTGTAAGTTCTGAAATCCTTTGAGTCTTGGATCAGAGGTGAGTTCCTATAGAATAAATAATAGTTTTTTATTTAAATTTTAATTTTTTTTAATTTAAAAGAAACTACTAACACAACCTTATTTTTTTGTAGATCCTGAAGTTCTTTGAGTCTTGAATTTGAGGTGAGTTCCTATAGAGAAATTGTTAGTTTTTTTCTTTAAATTAAAAAGAAAATCACTAACAATGCTTACCTTTTGAGATTCTAAAGTTATCCAATCTTTGATTAAAGGTGAGTTCCTATAGATTAAATAATAGTTTTTTAAAATTTTAGTTTTTTTTAATTTAAAAGAAACTACTAATGCAACCTTACCTTTTTGTAGATCCTAAAGTCCTATCAGAGGTGAGTTCCTATAGAATAAATAACAGTTTTTTTAAAATTTTAGTTTTTTTTAATTTAAAAGAAAATCACTAATGCAATCTTACCTTTTTGTAGGTCCTGAAATTGACTTTAGATGATGTATCATATGATATTCTTGTTGGATACCCACCTCTTAAAATATTAGTTTTAATAAAAAAAACTGATTTTAAAATATAAATATAAATAAAAAATAAAAAATTTGTTAAAATATAAAGAAAATGTAAAATAA